CCTCCTTTCGTTCCTCCTCCTCCTCCTTTGGCTCCCCCTTCTTTGGCTCCTCCTTCTTTGGCTCCTCCTTTGGCTCCACCTTTTGGATGTTGGAGTTCATACTCGTCGTCACCTTCTGGTTCCTCTACACCCGAATGATCATACTCATCATCTTCGTGCACATGGTCATAATCGGGTTGTTCTGGATGATTATGGGGATGGTGGTGGTGTGGATAATTTTCTTCAACCTCTCCTTCATGTACTGCCACTTCCTCTTTTGCTTTGGCGCCGCCCATCATGTTGTGATGCATTCGCTGATTCTTGTGCTGCTTTCTTTTTTCATTTTGATTTCCTTCATGATTCTTCAGTGACCGAACTGCTACTGTTGCTGCTGTGCTGTCACTAGGAGGTGTGTCGTCCAATGGTCTAACTTCATTGTCGACGCCACGGTTCGCACCTCTGATCTTCCCTAAAACTCCGCAATTAACTAACGCCAACAGCAGAAAGCACACGTAGGCAAATCTTCTAGGATTCGCCATTGTCACAGAGGGAGTTATCGAATTGTCGGTTTAATCTGTGTCCTGTTGCCTGGCGGATTCTTGTAGCAGTTTCAGTTGTGCGTATTCGAGGTTCTTGCGAGGTGAAAATGTGAGCGTTGCACCCAAAAATTGTGGAATTGTGACGGCAATTTTTGTGAAGCCTGTGCGGGAGTCAAGGGACCGTTACTGCGGCAAGAAGTCGTAACTGCAGGGCTCTTGAAAAATGGAACGTTGAAGAAAGCAAATTTTGCCAAGGAAGAGAGGCAGAGCAGGATGCTGGCATCCCTCAACCGTACATGTGGCTTGGGAAGAGCCGAGGGCTAGCCATGGTACAGTTCTAGGGAGAGTCAGCGTCGGGCTGTCTTGTAGCCCCTCCAGACAGGCTAGCTAGAGCTACTTTGGTACTGGCTACACTGTGCAGTGCAGCGGTCACCAGCCAGCCGAAGAAGAGGAAGCAAGCGAAGCTAAAGGGACAACAGACCTCCAGGTGGATCAGTGACTTGGATTGTCTTCAGGTTGATTAGCTACATTGGAATGGTGCGAAGCAGAAAATGGACTAGCCTTTTCAGTTTTAGTTGACTGGCACCTTGGAAGGTGCGGGCTCTTGCAAGAGGGTTGCAGTGTCTCAACCCAAAAGAACTACAGTAGTTGGTACCAGGTAGTTTCTAACTCAAAACCAAACCTTCTGAACCTCTGCACTTGTTTTCCCTTCAAATGAGTCCCCCTTTTGCAGCACGCACTCCAACTATCGCCTCTGAGGAATGATTTGATTGGGTAAGTGTGAGAGAGTGGAAAGGACCAGGTACATGTATAGTATGCCAAAGCGATCTCTCGGAGCAGTGGACTGTGGTTTTGTAATGCTGTGGCTGGAGGTGTAGTGAGTAGTGAGTAGTCTACATGGGCACTGAACTGTCACTCTGCTAGCTCTCACCAGCGCTGGTGAAGCAACATGGAAGATAGACTTAGCAAACCGAAACTAAAACAAGCGCCTGAGGTGCAACAGCATGCCATTTCCCATTCTCGAGCAAGCTCCATCAACATTCAGGCTCCCATTCTCAAACTGCTAAAGTAGCTAGCTAGCTAGCTATGCATAGCTACTACCAGTACCAACTAGTACCCCATGCTGGCCACTTACGGTGTTGGAGGACGCGTGTGGCCCCGTCTTGGGTCGTCTAGTTGACAGCGGGGGTGAGGATGGACACACGAGCAGACCATTAACAGTAGCCAAACGTAAAATCCGGCCCGTAGAAATCTGGCCATCTCGAGGGTGGCCGTTGGCTGTCATTGCAGGCGGAAAGATTGCAGTACTGATCCACGCAGGATCGCCGTTGGAATTTATCAATGGAAAGCACGAAAAAAATCCATAGAGCACTCGATCACAACCAGAGGAAACTAGAAGCTTGAAACAATGGGCAAGTACGACGACTACGACTGGGACGAGCTCCCCAAAGAAGTTCAAGAAGCCGCCACGAAGCTTGGATTCACCAAGCAGATGTGGGACAACGACAAGGAGCCAGACACTGAAGATTTGGACTGGGATGAACTCAGTTCCGAACAACAAAAGGCTGCCGCAGTTCTTGGATACGACAAAAAGACCTGGGATTCCAGCTAAAGCCCCGAAAATCGGAGCTGCAAGTGAGACGAGGTTATGCGTTGATGAATTAGTTGGCGTGGAAGTAGGATGCCATGGTTGATGTGGAGTTTATCGTTGAGAACTCAGCCATCTTGCCGACAATCATCTATCCATCAAGACTCGAATTTGCAAATTCGCTTTGCTTACATTGAAGATGAGCCCCTGCCGCATGCAGTAGGGTCTTTAAACTATATAATCAGTATGAATACTTTGATATCTATGACACCGGTCGTTTTCGGCATGTATTTTGTGCATCTGTCAGGCTACTCAGCCAGTCTTTGACTGTTGATGTTGACATCGTTCTCCAGCCATATATTTTTATCATCCATACTGACCCGTTGGCTAGCACACGGTATGGTGTAGGAACGAAGAAGGAGGAAATTTTCATAACTCTATAGTTAGTGCTAAGACTGTAATATCCTTTGGAAGACAAAAAGCAATCAATTCTGTGAGTTTTGTAATATCCAAGAACAAACACAAATAAAATGTAGGACGTCATCCAGGACCAGCTATCACAGAAGCAACAGATAGTGCAGTCCAACTATATTGACATTCCCAAACAGGTTGTATTGTAGCAAATATTTTGACCGACCCCCGCACAGATATCAAACCGTGGGCCGGAGATACAATTTGCATCATCATTCGAAACTTCTACGTACCTACCTTCTGAGTTGCCCTTGCTTTGCTCCCCACCACTCCAAGGCGCTGTCATACGGTTCGTATAATCCATCATCATCATCCACAACAACTCCAGTATTTATTTTCCCACGGATGTTGCCACCAATCTGCTGAATCTCGAACGATTGTGCCAGGAGGATGCCAGAGCGTTGGTATCCATTGGTGCCTACCGGTACTAGGAGTTGCACAAGCTTTCTTCCAAGGTTGGGTCTTGACCAAGTCATCTTTGTGGCAGCAAAAGACACGGAGATTGTGAATCAAGCCCTAATAATAATATTAGTATGGTGGTACCATCAGAGAAGGAAGGAAGACAAAACAAGAATGTGTGAGACTCAATCAACTTTCACTTGCGACTAGACTAAAACATCATGATACTAGCTAGCCATCCAGAACGGTAAACGTACCTTGGAAAACGGCAGATCAGCCATTTTGGTTCCCCGCAAATAATCCACATGTCTAGCTCCCTTGGCACATTCAAAGGTGGTGGTATTGGTGACCGCCATCCAAGTATGGATAATCATCATGATCCCAGCCACTCCTCGCAAGGTATAAAAGTAGCACCGGCAGAATAGCACAAACAGTGCTGCATATGCATCATCATCATCTTCATTGTTGGTTGGAAAGAGCAGCGTGGAGAGTCCCAACGGTGACGTGTTGAGATAGTGGCCAGCAATGGCCAAGTTTGTAACATGTACCACTAGGAACCACCAGAAGCGGCAATGATTGCGTTCCCCAATACACGTTCCCACAAATTGACAATGATGATCAAATGTAGCGACGCATTTGTCGCATATTTTGCAGTGATGTGATCGAAGAGGTGGAGCAATTTGACACGTTTCGCAAAATTGGCGTCTTGTAGTACTTTGATGAAAGGGATTGTTGCTGATGTCAGTGCTGTTGGACGACTGCGCTGCGGATGGATGAAGTTTTCCCTCATCGTTCTCTGGATCCATCACAAGACCAGAATTGGAAGCAGGTAAATGTTGTACATCCTCTTGTTCTGCACTATTATTAGTACATGCATTATGATGGTCGTCATCATCGTCATTCAACAAGGTTTGCTGGTCCTCAAAGACATCTTCTTGCAAGACGCGAGCTGATAGATAGCCAGGATCACTCCCACAAACCATCCAGAAACTTGAAATGCAAATCAAGTAAAGGAATAGGCAACCAATGGCAAGACTCCATTGAAACTCCGAAAGATGATCGTCATCATGATCCATGACGACTTGGCTGGATGACAACGATGATGATGAGGAAGATCCTTGTTGATAGAGCACGGTCTGTGGACACGTCAACCCCAAAACTAGACACAACGTCGACATGAACATGTACCGAATTGTGGCTTGTCGAGGTGTCGTTGGGCTTCGTTTCGCGGCTGGTTTGCCTTGCTGGACTTGCAATCCATCATTCGACAACGCACTATTTCCTACTAGCGTTTCCACTTCCAGCGACTCTTGAGGACGCTTTCGTATAGAGGAGGAGTCATCTTGGAAACCATGGCTGTGCTCGTCGCTGCTTGTGCTGTTGGATACAAGTGGCGACGATGGCATAGCGGAGTAATATCATTGCGGAGAGTTGGTTTGGCTGTGTGAGCGCTAAGCGTTGATAACGTATCCCTAACGCTAGAATGTAATTTCAAGCTCAGAACCCAGATGAGGGTTAAGCGTATTCCCATCGTTGCCACCACCCATCATTTTTCTTTCTCAAATCAAGCCATTTCCTTCTGTCTTCTGCTTTGCTTGCTCACAAATCACAAATTAATTGAGCCATTGCTTTCTTGAATCTTCAATCTATCGCCACTACAGTTGCTTGTTAAAATACTATATTTATAGTAGATAGACCATGGTGGGCACTGGTGGGATTGCAACTGGCGCTGGTACTCGTGTCGACGTGACTCTCAAGCTATCACAGCTTCAGAATCTGTGCAAACGAGATCCCCAAGGGTATCGGGAAGACTACGATGCGCAAGTCCGACGATTGGAAAGTGAATGTGGTATTTTGGCCCTCTCGCCACTGGCGGATCCGTCGCCTCGCTTGGTGGAACTGATTCAATTTGCCGCTGCAGTCTCCTCCAGTTCTTATAAAGGCGCCGAAGCCAATCGCATTGCACAGTTGCTCATGAATTTACTATTGGGCAAAAAGGATGCCGTGGCAGCGGCCAATACTGATAACAACAATGCAGCTAATGCTCAGAGCAAACAACAACAAGTCTCCAAGGAAGAAAAGCAACAAGCAATCGTCAATGTGACATCCCTGTCTACTTGGGCGCTCCAATTGCACCGTGATATTCGCAAAGCCTGTGTCTCGGCTCTGATTCTCATGAGGAACAAGGGCGCCGTGGAACCCTTGCAATTGCTCGAACTCTTTTTTCGAATCATGAGCGTCGTGCCCGACAAGGCTCTGAGAGAAATTCTATTTCGACACATTGTCAATGACATACGGAACATTAACAAAAAGGGGAAACGAGACGATAAGGTCAATCGATCTATTCAATCCTTTCTCCATCGCGTCATTAGTACGCATGGCAATAATAACATCAATACACAGCAACCAGAAGACTCGGCGACCGACGTGGCGTCCAAACGAGCCTGTGAAATGGTCTGTGAACTGTATCGGCGCAATGTCTGGACCGATGAACGAACTGTCGCCATTCTGACATCGGCCATACAGTCCAAGAATACTACCGTCATGTCAAGAGCCATTCGATTCTTTCTCAACGTCGAAGAAAAAATGGCACTCGATGCCAAGGAAGAAGAAGAATCCGAGTGGCTAGACAAGAACCACATTGATTATCACCAGCATTCCAAAAAAACACAAGGACGACTACGACATGTTACTCGACAACTCAAAAACAGAAAGAAACACCAAAAGAAACGAGAAGGAATGGATGGAGGCGAAAATTGGTCGGAACAAGTCGATGAAGACAATGGAGTCGAACAAGCCAAAAAACTATATCCCGCCATTGAACTCATTCATGATCCACAGGGACTGGCAGAAGCCGTCTTTCAAAGAGTACGCGGGGCTGGAAAGGCATACAAATACTACGTCAAACTGCTCATGATCAATTTCATCACGCGACTCGTGGGCAATCATGAACTCATCATATTGCCGCTGTATCCATTCCTGCAAAAGTACATGGGAGGACACCAGCGTGATGTTACTGCCATCTTGGCATACTCGGTCCAAGCGTGCCATGAACATGTCCCACCCGAAGAAGTATACGGCATTCTCAAGACCATTGCTCACAACTTTATCACCGAACGATGTTCCGAAGAGCAAATGGCTGTGGGGATCAACGCGGCAAGAGCCATTTGCGCTCGCGTGCCAACCGTCATGAACATGGAAGAATCCAAAGGCACCACCGGCAGCACTGTCATGGATATGGAAGCGTTTGCCAGAGACTTGGCTGGATTTGGAAACCACAGAGATCGATCCGTCAGTATTGCTGGAAAGGCGTGGCAAAATTTTGTCCGAGAAGTCAATCCAGGATTGTTGCAAGGAAAACATCGCGGGCTCAAGGGATCGGCATTGCACAAATCGGGTACTCGGCCACGGAGGTATGGTGAAGATCAAATCAGTGCCGGTGTGGCAGGAGCCGACCTTTTGGTGGAATACGAATCCAAGAAGGCGGCCTACTTGAAACGAAAGCAAGCAGAACAAAATGAAGGAGTAGGAGAGGACGAAGACGGATGGGTGGAAGCGGAGGATTCCGACGATGACGAGGCGCCTCAGCTGGTGGTGTTGAAGGATCATGATGGAGACAAGAAACCTGCTGCCAAGGAAGATTCTGCTGGCGCCGAAGATGCTGATGATGAAGATGACAATGATAATGCTGATGACGACCAAGCATCCAAGGATGACAATGAAAAGTCAGCAGCAAACCAAGAAGAGAACCAGGACGACAAGGTCATTGATCTATCGAAAATGACGCCCGAAGAGCGCGCAAAACTTCGCATGGAAGTATCAGCTACTCGCAGCTTCACTCCCAAAGATTTTGGTTTGATGCGAAGGCTCGTCGAACGGGAGCAGCGTGCCAAGCGAGATCCTAGGGAGGCAGCACGTCGCAAACGAGCCCTTGCCAAGGGAGATGGTTTCGAAGAACTCAGTGGGGACGACGAGTCCGACTCGGACTCTGACGAAGATATTCACGTGGCTGGTGCAGTGAACCCAACCGACATTATGGCATCAGCCACGCGCAAACGACAATCCAAAGCCGAACGTTTGGCCAAGGTAGTAGCCGGTCGTGAGCAATTTGAATCCACAGCTCGTACAGGCGGTTCTACCAATGTGGAGAAGAAAAGGAAGAAGAACTTTGTCATGTCCAAGTTTAGCTTCGCGACGAGAACGAAAGGCAACGGAAAGAAGATGCTAGCCGACAAACGAAAAGGAAAGGGTGGAAACATGTCGCATGAAGGCAGGAAGCGTAGGAGGAAGTTCTAAACTGCGTAGCATTAACTTTATCAGAGACTTTTATCAGGAGGATGCAAACGCCTGAAACTCTCCAATCAAAAAGGTTCAGGTGCATCTAATCTCTCTGTAGCCACCCTGAAAGCCTCCAAGTAGTGTCGCGTGTTGTTGCAGCAACCTTGTCAAACCAGATCAGAATTCCAAATGGCATCATTTCGTCAACAGAAGAACCATCGTCATGAGCATAGCTCAGAATCTCGAAGTTTCCGCCTATGGCAACTCCGCCCGCAATTCGAAATTTTATCACTAGCTTGTCTTCGTGTAGCCACTGAAGCACCAAAAAATTCACAGCTCATCGCAATGGACTTGCGTTTAATACATTTACATTTCTAAAGGTCTAATCAATCTACTAGCTAGTATTCATTCTCCACTTTCCTACACTGTCTTTGTCTTGACCACACTGTAGTTGGCCCTGGTCCAGCAGATCAAGTAAAACAGAATGTAGGATGATGCCATGTACACATCATAGATGAGGTGTCCATGTTGCTGCATCATCGAATTGCTGGAACAGGAGGTGCTCTCTAGCCAAGCAAAGATTCCACTGGGAACTGTAGTGATCAAAGGCCACAGTGCATATTCAAACCCCTTTTCTGAATCAGGCAGCAAGAGCTGATCCACAGACATTCCAGCAAATAGAACGCTTTGGGCGTAGCTGAACCCAAAGCGAACTTGCATGAGGAGACTGAAAAACCAACAAAAGAAGGCCACAATGGCCACTCGTCCCTTGGCTGTGTTGATCATGTAGGTTTGAACGAGTGGCATCCAAAAGAAGGGCAATCCAGGGCATGCTTTTCCAATCGCTTCAGGAAGACTGCTTCTCAAGAGGTCGTCCATGAAGGATTCCTCGGATGGTGGAAAGAATTGCTCTCGATGAGAAAACGCTAGAAAGTAGTGACCCCAAGCATGCCCCAAGGCTCCAATGAGGGCCCAAAATGTAAGGGTGTCGGCTTTAGAAAGAGTTGACTCGGTTGCTGTTGTGGACTTGGAGGCCTGCCGGTGGCTCAGACACCGTTGGAGGGCAAGGCCCAAAAGACTAATGACGACCATCACATGACCAGAGAGGTCGTGAGTTGTCTGGTAATCGACATCTGGATGCGGCATGCAGAAACCTTCTTGTAGCCATGACTTGTCAAACACAGTGGATTGTGGATTGGTTCCAAATGCATAGATCACAGAACCGTAAAGAAAAATGTTCAAGAGATTGAGAGTATGAAGGCAATTGCCAACAAGTCGTGGGGATACACTCATGGTGATGGCGAGGGCTGTTTCGAGATGAAACCTTCTGGCGGGTGAGGGATTATGAGTGAAGCTGTGTTGGCTTTTCAACTCGTTGCTGTATTGCCGTCGTCTCCATCTCTCGTTGTCGACAGAGGTGGCGGCAATGGTGTTCTTGTGTCCATGCGAGAAGCGAGAATTTGTGACGGTCTCATTTTTGTGTATCCTTAACCTTGTCTCCCTAACCAGTTCATCTAGCCAGCAGGACCAGCAGCACAGCCCCTCTGTCCGGGGAGGGGAGATGTCGGACCTATGCATACATTATCCCTCATTGATCTTCAGGCCCCACGCCCAGACCAACTCCTGGATCTAGACTACTGGTACCCTCACCCACTTCCAGGCCGCACTTCTAGTGTCAGCTCCTGGACCTACATCCAGTCCCACTCGAGGTTCCGCACTGGGCTTATCCCTGCTCCAACTCCGGGAACTACGCGATGACCCATGCCAGGCTCCACACCAAGCCCTGCTGCGGGCCCCACAACTGGACCTTCACGTGCACCAGGCCCCACACCACGGCCTTCACCACTCCCTACCCCGAACCCCTGATCCATCTCGAAGCCCCGCATCTGCGGCAACCAACACAAATTGCAAACAGT